GAATCAAGAACATATTTTCTATGGTCTATATCTATGACGATATACAGAACATAATATGGCAGAGGAAATTCTAGGAAGATTCTGCAGCTTAGTTCTATTGATATGAGCGATGAACACAAAAAGACTCTGATTGGCTTCCACTCCTCCACAGGAAATGACTATGTCTTTTGTTCTTTCGCAAGTCAAAGAGTCACTGTTGGCAAATCCTTTAAAAGAATAACAGGATTGTTCATGTTTTTTCGCAGCTAGGAGCAGAGTGGAGTATTGATGACGATCTGCTTTCAAAATTGGAGGAGTATATATATAACAAATAACAAAAATATGTATATAACATTTTTGGAAAGAAAAAGAAAGACGTAAATGCAGTTAGTTACGAGATCTTTAAGAATGTTTATGAAAAAAAGGAAAGATTCAAGATTTGTCTTTGCTGCCTCCATGTCGACAATCATTGCATTTGCATTGCCAGTGATCAAACTACATCGCAGAAGTGTGGAGGTCCTGCCTACAAGCGAACATTGACTTTGCAGATATTGGACAAAATGAATGGTCTTTGGACGGAAAAATAGTATGGATAGATGCTGCTTTCTCTGAAGAGGTAGAGCAAATTTTGGCTGGAGAAGAGAGCAATAATTAGAGCAGCGATAAAAGTGAGGATGAAGAATTTAGTAACAGTAATGAAGAATTCGCCCTCGTTTTGTTACCTTGTTACATCTCATACTTATGTTTGTAATTATAACTATTTTCAAATTAATTAAATCAATTTATATTAACATAGCAATGTTATTGTTTGAGGAATAGTTTACAGCTTGAAGGATGTTTACGAATGGCGTCAGCAGTTGCCATATAAATATTTTTTTCTGAAGCCGTGTCAAATTTTGTTCACAGAAATTGGAACAGTAAATTTACGTACCTTCTCAATTTGAAGGGAAAATTAGAAAGTAGCAGTGTTTTTTACAAAGCATTCTAACAAACGAGCAAGAAAAAGCTGAAAGACAAGTTTTGCGTTGACTGTTTGATGAAGTGTTTAGCAGCTCGTTCCTACACAGCAAGATTGCCAAACAATTTTAAATGTCGGCCATCATATGCAATGGTAAGTAGAATCATTGAAAATTATTCTTATTCAGTTGAATATTAAGGTAAACAAGATAATTTCTTTATCAGGTTAACCAACCAAAAATTATTATGTTGATTTTCGTGATTCATAAGATACCCTGATATTATTGAATGTACTATTTCATTTAGTTTCAGAATATCATTGCCGAGGTGCGCAAGTCTAATCAGTCAAGTAGCAACGAAGATGATGTGGCTGTTATAGATGAAGAATCTGCTTATCAGAATGGTATAACATCAATTTTCCAAGAGTCTTCAAGTTCAAAATTTGCCGCTACAACAACAACAACCGCTATAACAAAATTTGGAGAAACATACTACCTTGTGCTTAAAAGTCTTCTAAAATACATACCATGCACACAAGTAGAAACTGAAACACTCCAAGGTGTCGGTCCAGTGGAAGTGTCTGAGGATTTTAAATATATTAAAAGACATCTACTTCCTGAAATCAGAAGTGCATTGGACAATAATGTAATTCTACAGGAGGAGGTGAGCCTATGTCGGAATTTTCTGTGGAATAAATACGGCCAACATGGTATGCCTCCATTTGGTTGACGTGGCATACACAGAGAAGAAAGCAGAATAGGATGATTTGTTTCCGTCCAAAGCCTCTGCCTTTTTGCGCAGTGTCTGCCTCTGATGTCTGTGATCGCATTATGGAATGAAAATTCTGGACAGGGTACTCGTCAAAATGTCATAGGTGTCAAAGAAGGCAATCGTAGAGAAGGTGGTTTTTATCTTTCGAAAATGAAAAGTTGCTCAACCAATCAAAAGGGGCCTTGCTGTAGTGATGACGTCGGAAACAGAAGAACATTATCCAGCATCTTAGAAGAGAGTTGGAATACAGATCAGTTTTTTCTGTTTTGAATGTTATAGAATTAGATACAGATACAGAAGAGGAAGACCTGAATACCTTAAATTGAGAGCAGCCGGGTTTATTAGAGAGTTTCCGATTCAAGACGACTCAAGTGAGGACGGCTCATGGAGGTCTGGGTACGAACTGAGTTGAGGCGCCCTTATTCGCTTGTTCAATTTAAGTTACGAATGCGGAAGACGACTCAGAATAAGCGCCAAAAGTGATTTTATATCGAAAATGGAGGAGGAAATGTTAGTTCTCATGCACGATGACAGCGAGATCGATGATGACGAATTCCTTGTTTTTCATGAGGCAAATAGACACGGAAACCTGCATGTTGGACTTCCATAATGGAAATATGAACGTTTTGATCTGGATGGGATGTGAGAGGACGAGTGTGAGGTCGAGTTTCGGTTTAAGAAACAAGATATAGCTAGGCTCGCTGCTGCATTACACCTTCCAGCCAGTTGAAGCACTATGTGTTTGCCTGAAACACTATGTGAAACTGAAACGTTTTGCGTACCCATGCAGATATGCAGACCTGATACCAAGGTTTGGAAGATCCGTGCCTCAACTCTGCATGATAACTAACCTTGTGGTAAATTTTTTATATGATTCATTTTCTGACCGGCTTCAAAACCTGAACCAGCCATGGCTTTCACCACAACACCTGAAGATGTATGCACAGGCAAATCACAACAGGGGTGCTGCATTGGATAACTGCTGAGGATTCATTGATGGCACAGTAAGACCGATTTGTAGGCCCAAGGACAACCAGAGGGAAGTTTACAATGGACACAAACGGGTTCATGCCCTTAAGTTCCAGTCAGTTGTGACTCCCAATGGTCTCATTGCAAATCTTTTTGGTCCAGTTGAGGGAAGAAGACAGTGGCATGTTAAATATGTCAGGCCTCTTGCATGATCTGGAACATCATTCATTTTCCCCAACTGGCCAAGCATTGTGTCTTTATGGTGACCCAGCTTATCCCCACAGAGTGCATCTCCAATGCCCATTTGCCAGAAGGGCTGACCTTACTCCAGAGGAAGAGGCATTTAACCAATCAATGAGTCAAGTTAGAATTTCTGTTGAGTGGGTATTTGGAGATATTGTGAATTACTTTAAATTCACAGATTTTAAAAAAGATCTTAAAATTGGTTTGAGCGCAGTTGGCAAGATCTACATGGTGTGTGCATTGCTACGCAACGGATTGACATGTTATATGGCAACAACACCACAAAATTTTTTGATGTCGATCCTCCAACTATCGAAGAGTATTTCCAGTAGGTTGTACCAATCAAAGATCTAAAAAACAGCTTTTTTAAAAGCTACCAAGAATTCTAAGTTTTCCTATTCTTTCACACAGCACACGATTATCTGTTTTGTTTTTCTCTTTAAAGAAATTATGGAAAGGAACATTTTTTGTAACTACCATAGGATGCATTCCTGCTGTAGAATATTTAAAAAGTAATGATCAAACCTTTTGGGTACCAAAGTATGTAAAAAAATCAAAAGCTTTAACAGATTCCAAAATTTTGTCATTTTGAATATTTTTAGCGATTAATACTTGACTCGATCGTTCCTAGGTTTCACTTAAAACTTTAAACATCAATCTCTTGACCACATGACAAAGAATTATAGAAATATTCACTTTCAAATCAAGGTCCTGGTTTTGTTTGCCTGTTTCTCAAATTTAAAGAATCTTTTGAAAAGACATGTAGCATAGTGTAAGTGAAAAGGCAAACAGGAAAATAAATTGTTAATCACAGGCAAGAAAAAAATATTTTTCAGGCAAAAACTACCTGCTCTTTAAACTGAAATTGAAGATTAACTTATTTGAAACAACCAATTAAATAAATAGAGATAATCAAAACTTTCATAAGTGATGTTACTGTACCATATTGATACAAATCTGTGTTTTAGAGGGGGGGGGCTTATTTACAACTCTGTGCTTTTGGGTGGAGCATGAGAAGATACCCAAACATTTGTATTTGTACAGAGTTAAAATTTGAGATCAATTATCCAATATTTCTCTATGAAATGAGTTGGAAAAGAATTTAGAATAAAAAAATTCAACATAATTTTACCTTTTGACTTTTTTAATACAATTAAGCAAATATCAGCGAACAATATTACTTTTCAAATCTTTCTAATATTTTTAAAATAGTTAAATTTTGTTCCTCAATAATTGTCAATTTATTTTTTATGCACGCTATTTGAGCATTCATCATCTTTTGCTGTTCCTCGTATACTTTAAACTTCTCTTCAAATTGTTCATGCTCCTTTGCCTTCAATTCTTGACTTTTCTCTCTCACCTCTATCTCCCTCACCCTCAACTCAAGTTCTCTCTTTCTCAACTCAGTTTCTTGGTCCAACTTTCTTTCCTTAATTTCAACTTTCTTTCTTTCCAAATTGACTTCACTCTCTCTAAGTTTCATGTTTGATTCGCGTTTCTCTCTCAGGTACCCAACATACTCACTTGTCTCACCATCCTTTTCCTCTTAGAACATTCTCTTGCCTTAGTTTCTGAGAGACTCTCCATAGCCATTTTCCTCACAGCCTGTGCCATTTCCTTCTCTGCCCCTGTTGCCTGTCTCTTACCATCATCACACTTTGCTTGCTGCTGCTCTGCACTGTCTTTTCTTTCCAAAATCCTCCATTGCTTCATCTAGCTCACTGGGTTCTGGTGCTACCCCACTAGCCCTCATTTCTTCGTTCATTTTCCTTCTAAACCCCGTTTCTAATTTTACGAATCTGTCCCTAACAGCTCTCTGATCAACACTGAACTTTGGCCTTTCTACTCCATTTAATGCATCTGCAATTTTGTCCCAGCATTTCCCCCTTTCCCTTGACCCATGCTTATATTGATAAGGCTCCTCTGCCAGAATTCACGGCAAAGCAGCACATTATGATCTTTAGTCCATGTCATTTTAGGCCTATTCAAAATAAGTTTATATCAACACATATACAGGAAAGTTTTGGCTGAGACCTTAAAGCCCATCCATTTCAGGAGAGACCAGGAAACAATTTCAACTATTTCAGCAAGGTAAACTAACCACTTGTTCTACTCAAAACAACATAAAACAAATTTCAATTTAAATAAAGTTTATTCAAAATGTAAATTTAAAAATGCATCAAGTACAAAAGCAAGTAATTCCAGCAAGTTAACTTTTTACTTTAAGAGTACTTCAAGAATACAAAGTTGGTGACCATTCAGATACTGATCATACACAGGCTTTCTCCTTGTATGTACTGATAACTTCAACAAAACATCAGGAAATCTGGCAGGCTTTTGACCATTATTTTGCTGTCTCTCAACGGTAAATGCCACTTGATTTCGGTTTCAGGTTAAGTAAGTTTCAATGCATTTGTTTAATGATGGAATCAATACAAACATGAGTGTTCTTTTGTGTAAATCTTCACAATTGGCGGCCATTTTTAACGATTGAAATGTATCCTGGAATAAAGATGTAAAAACAACGTTACTATATGTCTATTGTGGCACTGAAAATTTAGATATGTACCAACAATTCAACTTGAAAAACATATAATGCTCAGTGCCATTATGACAGGCAGAGCTGAACACTCCGTGGTGTGTAGAAAAGAAAGGTTCTGAGCAAAAACACAATCAATACACTCCAATTTTCACACTTAATGCGATCATCAGGTAACTGTCAATGAATTATCTAAGTTTATAACGATGTATTACAAAAGTGTTGAAGAAAACTCACCTTTTATTTCTGTTCTGCGTCAGGCTCGCTACGTAAAAATCGAAAATTTGAGTCATCCTCGGGAACAAGACGACTCAAGCAAAGTGGGATACCCCTTGACCGCGCTAGTTTCTAGATCCCTATGAGCCGTCTTCCCTTACCGCATCGTGAATCGGAAACTCTCTATTGTCTCTCTCCTGAAGGAAATTAAAGAAAATCCAGGCAAAGCAGAGCAAGTTGATAGACCACCACGTAAACCTAAAAACATGTCGTACTGGAAAATGCCAACGTTTATGGTGATGAGAATGTCATGTCAGCTCAAGTCCTTCCGCTTGCTTTCAGTTTCACGGGAAAGAGCCTTCCCAGAACAGGTTTGGTGTTACAATTCAAATTTTGACATAAATTATGATATTGTTATAATCTGTATATCATTTTTGAAATAATTATGATAAAACACATGCCTTTGCTTTTCTATAATAATTAACCTCTAATTTTGAAAAAAGTGATCAATTTGCAAGCAGTGTGATTCTTACTGGATGCGGCCATTCAGTTCACAATGAATGCATCAAACTAGGTCCGAATATCTGTCCTATTTGTACCAAAGAGTATGAAAAAGCCATGAAATCTCTCGCGAGCAAAGCATCTGATGCCATCTTAAACCCAACTTTGTCGGTCAAAAAAGAAGGAGACGAGGAAGAAGATGATTGAAATGATTCCAGCGATGAAACAGAACCTGAATGCAAGATGACGATTTTGCCTAGCAGACACATGCAAATACAGAGGAAAATTTTCCAATGGGGACTGATCCCTGACCCCGGCGAACCGTAACGAAGATAGTGTTTTACACAAAACAACTTTTTTTATGCCTAGAGATAGCTCGTTTTCATCAATCCTACTTTTCCTTTACAAAACTACCTAGTCCAGGTCGCTTCCATATATATTTACAGTAGAACAAAATGCAAGCATACAAATAAAAATCCAACAAAGAAAACATAGTCCAAGTACCCCTTTGCTGCCCACAAAAACTAATCCATTGACAAAAAGATAAATTTTCACTTATCACAGCCCGTTTATAGCCATTCATAGAAAAAAGGCTCACACTTTTGCATCAATATGAAGATTCAATCAATTTAAAAACAGTTATAATTCCAAACATAAGTAAGAGATATAACAAGGTAACAAAAAGAGGGCGTAGTAAGGAAAGCCGTCTTTTGTTTTTATCATTCCCTCCTTTATGTGAACTTAACATCTCACTTGACAAGATTTTTCGCACCAGTTAGCAATCACGTCAGAATCCCAGTCGGCAGAAATAAGAACAGGCGAAAAAAATAACTTTTCCATGCTACAAACTTACTTTGTCATTGAATAATGGACGGATTTGGAATGAAACAGAAACATCAAGCTGTATATCATCAAATGCTTTAGTGCTTATGTTGACAGACGAGTTAGCTACAAATGCTTGCGATAAAAACTTGGCCTAGTTAATGAAAAAAACCAAGCTGATCAATCAACAAAAAGGGACTTTCGAAAGAAGTTGTTTGCGTAGATTTTTTTGGATAAATGTTTTCGAGTATGTTATTTCACTTCCCAACTTATTCGTTCACCTTAGGGTAGAAACGCAATTGTCATCATTAGGATGCTCTTATTTAGAATATAGAGAAAGTTCACAACAAAAATTTGCCCCTACGTTTTGTGAAGACGATTCAATTGAAGTTTTTGAAATATATAGCGCTAAAATGAATAAAAGTGGCCTTTGGTCGCATTTGTTTACATTTTTTGTTATCTGATTGGTCAGAACTCAGGGGGTGTGTCAACTGTATTAACCAATCAAAGATTTGAAGCGCATACTTTGAATCAGTACAAGTCAAGACATTATGGTCCACCGAACGGAGGTTAGAGTAAAATCGCATGTGTTACAGTTGAAGATGGAAGAGCTGGAGAAACGGAAGAAAACTAGGAAATATCACCGCGGAGTCGCAACAAAGTTGCTCAACAAGATACATGTTGAAAGCGATAAAGAGCCTGATGATATCGATTTGAGAAGATTACGCTTGTTTGAAACAGATTTGAAAGAGAAAGCAACGGTTTTGATGAGGAAATATTTGATGAGGAAGAGTCCTGATGAGGAAATTTTTGCCCTTACGATCGAGCATGGGGATGAAGGCACCTGCGGCAGAGAAGCCGAAAAATCCTCAGAGTATAACGAAAAAGATGCCTACAACATTTTGACGTTGGAAGAAAGAAAATTATGTGCTTTCTTAAAGACGATCACAAGCCTCAACGACAAAATTAATGGCATCGAGAGAATCAGTGAGTTCCAACAAAAGTGCATTGAAAGAAAGTTTGAACCTTTTGGCCACCGAAAATGGACAACCCTACACGTCAGCGCAAAAAGTGAAACTGCTTTAACTTGAAATGAAAATATTTGAAGGTAAAATTGAGGACTGGCCAGAATTTTGGGACAGTTTTTGCAGTTCTGTACACAATCTTCGTAGCTATTTGGAAGGGCCTGCAAGAAGTGCTACAAAAGGTTTCTTACTTGCAGAAGCTGATTGTGATGAGGCAGTTGCTTTGATTAGAAACATATTCTCATACGGGCAGATGTCATACGAATAATGAATTGAATTGATTAGTATCGCAGCAGTGTTCAGCGAGAGAAATGTTCAACTCCTTTGATCCTCTCATGATGAAACCAGTGGCATAGCTAGCCAAATAGCAGTGGTCATGCCCTCTCTGCAAATTTGAAAAAATATGGGTGTGGCCATATTCTGCCACGCCCAATTTTTGAGTTGATAAGTTCCTTTTGGAAATTTTAATTTTCAGTCTTGTAACTTATAAAAAAATTTTGATGAACCTTCGGAATGAGCTTTTCTTATCATCTTGTTACACCATGAAATGAGCTTTGTGTCTTATAGCTGTCACATTAAAACATTAAAAGACATTAAAAAACTTTAGTTTATTATAGTAGATAAACTTAGCTTAAACTAAAAATTTTGTTGTTCTCCTAATTTCTTCCAATTTGTAGGCTGAAATACATTGGTAAAGTTTAGAGATAAGCTAAAAATTGTAAATGAAACAATAAATCACATGAAATTGAATGGGAGCTTTTTGGTCATCTTTTCCACAAATAGTCTTATTATCAATCTATTAAAGCTATTTTATAGCCATCATGATTAACTAACAACCCCAATAGAACTGATAGATGAATAAAACAAATGGACAAATAAATATGCAAGGTATATATTGATATGAAATATAGGAAGCTAAAATAATGGATAGGCCTGGTCGCAAAATGTTTTCTGCAAAGTTAAACTTAAGAGAAAAATACCTTGCAAAATAAGTTTAGCTTAACAAAAACATTGATGTTTCCACATATATTTTTGGTAAATATCTACATGATTGGATTGTCCTTACCAAATCTAGCAAACAAGGGTTTTAAATGAAATAATTTGTACTTGTAAATTTTCAAATACATGAGAAGTTATAATAAAGAAATACAAATGTTTAACTAACAAGATCAGTAACATGCTTGACTTGTCTCTGGTCATTTTATTTAAACATTTTATTTAAAAGTGATGTCAGTAGAGCTTGAGATTGACTTTAATTGTGTGTAAAAAGAGGGTTATTGCATGTGATAATAAGTAAAAAATTGAAGAATAACCTTAAGCAACTTTTGGCATTCCCAATTCATTAACTACAACCTCATTGTCCTAATCATAATATGGTAACAATGCTTTTAAAGGGCTTAACAGTTTCTGAATATGCTGCTAAATGTCTGGAAGGTTTAAGCTCTCAAATCTGTTGGTTTGGAAAATAACACTGCTATCTCCTCCATCCATCAACAGTGAAAAGCACCAAGATTTGGCATCCATTAAATCAAGAAGATTCTCTGCAAATGTTCAACTAGTAACAATTGATTATTGTTAAACTCTGAGAACGGGGGAGGATGACGTGCTACACGCAGCTGTGAGAAACTCCAGTTGCAGTGGGGACAGTGGCGCTCAATAAACTTTAAAAAAGGAATGTCATATAGGGTTGGAATGGCCGAGATGAAATGCTAACACGCCGAGCAGAGAAAATGTCAAGGAAAACGCATTCTAATGAGAAACATGCAGGCCGTACCGAAAAACGCTTAGGCCCTGTCGAGGAGTTGAAGGATCCGGTAGAGAAATCCAATAAGCAAATGCTTAAGGCAATTTCAGAAATTCTGGACAGCAAATTGGCTAGTTTGGCCACTAAAGATGATGTAACAGATTTGAAAGACATTATTAACCAACAGCGTTTGAAGATCGAAATGCTGGAGGCCAAAGTGGTTCTAATAGAGAAGTACGAACAGCGGATCGTGGGTTTAGAGAAACGAGCGTCTAAAAATAATTGTGAAATTGACGCAGCAAGTGAAAGAATCAAGAAACTTGTGCTTAGAACCGATGAAAACGAGTCATATCACAGGAGGCTGTGTTTAAGAATTAATGGTGTTGAATTGAGTCTGGTGGAGAGTCTGGCCAGGAATGCTTCGAGAAGATTAAAGATATCTTTAAAAACGAATTGAAGCTGAATATCCCTGATATGTCAATAGACCGAGCCCACCGTATTGGCTCTGTGACAGAAGATCCGGTCACCGGTAAAAGTTACCATCAAATTATCGTCCGTTTTGGAACTTGGCGTCACCGCACTCAAGTATACAAAGCAAGAAAAGCCTCCAAAAAATTTAAAATACGACTTGACTTGACACAGAAACGTATTAAATTGCTCAAAAAAGCTAATGGCTTGTTTGAAAAAGTTGATGGCTCCATATTCTTGTGTCAAGCCATAGGGCACCAAAGACGAATAGCCTGAGCTATTACATCAGAAAAATAGGAATAGAAATTTTTTTTTGAAAAATGTTGTCTCTGGAAATGGATGGTCATGCCCGGCATGACAAGTATGACCGCTAGCTACACCACTGGATGAAACCGAGGCTCACTTTAGAGTGATAGAGGCTCAAGGTGTTGACAAACAGTCCTATTCCAGTGTTGTTGTGCCAGTGTTGATGTCCAAAATCCCTGAATCTCTGAGAAACAACATGATTAGGTTTAACAAGAATCATATGGACTGGCTTCTGGACGAATTAATTGCTGCGTTGGAGAAAGAGCTACAGGTTTTAGAAGGACACATGTCGATTCTACAACTAGCAACTAGCCTGAGCCGCAGACCTTGCAGAATCGGCCTAGGCAGACAGAAGAGTCAGCCTCAACATTTTTGGCGGAAAGAAAAAAAGAGGATGCAAGCCGCACTTTTTGTTATAAATTACATGATGCTGAGAAATGTAATGAAGTAAAGGACATTAGTGAGCATAAGAATATTTTTTTACGTCATGCTAAATGTTTTTCTTGCTTAAAATCAGGTGGTAGGTCATTTAGATGTAGACCATGCATTAATTGTAGGTTGTAGGTTGTAAGTTCATGATAGGTGTAAGAAGTCAGGCCATCATGTTTATATTTAGCTAAGCCCTTGTGTATCTTGCGCAGTGCAGCCATAACAGCCCGTGCGGCCTCTTGGCCTGGAAGTACTGAGTCCTTTGAGGGAAAAGTGGCATTGTAAATAGCTTTAGCAGTGATTAATGGTAATAAGGAGTGCACTGTGATAGTATTGTTTGATACAGGAAGCCATAAATTGTCTGTCACATAAATTGTCTGTCACTGCTGGGGCTGTGAGACAACTTGGTTTAAAGCCAGTGAAGGAAGAACTAGGGCTGAAAGTTTTTGGATGCAAAGATCTGAGATGAGAGGTGTTGTAGAAATTTATTTAAGTGCTTTAAGTGCTGTAAAGAATGTGAAAATTGAAGCCTTTTTTGTCAAGGACATCTCTACTATACCTAATGTTCACAAAGAAAGAGTAAAAAGGATTTCTTGCATTTAACCAATGTATGGTTTGTAGATGTTTCTAGAAATGACGACATGTTAGAAATTGACTGTCTTATTGGATCTGGTTGGCTTTGGCCCTTCCAACAAGGGGAAGTTATAAGAGGGGGGCCAAAAGAGCCAGTTGCTGTAAAGACCAGTTTTTGCTGGGTTTTTTCAGGACCACTCTGAGGTAAGACTCTTGATTCTAATATATTTTGCAATGTGAATTTTTGTGTGGCTCCCAGGTCTAATAATTTATAAGTTAAACTAAAATCAGGGTTACATAAACTGTGGGACCTGGATAGCATTGGGATTAGAGAACCAGATAAGATTCACGAAAGTGTTCTGGATGACATTTCTTGATGACAGGGAAACGATATTCTGTCAGCCTACCGTGGAAGATAGGCCATAAGCCATAAGCGTTTAAATAATCAGGTTAAGAAATCCGAACCAGAATCCTGATATTTTCGAGAAATATGATAACATCAGCTTTCAACAGGTACAAGATGGCATAATTGAACATTTTCTGAAATGGAGCCAGCAGACAAAGTACATAATCTTTCACATCATGATGTTTTAACAGAGAATGCTGAAAGTACTAAAGTTTCAATAGTATATGATGCCTCTTGCAAGGAAAGAAAATCAGGAGTATGTCTCATCTTATGTATGTATATGTTGGCCCATCTGTAACACCTATGATTTTCGATTTTCTTCTGAGATTTAGAACAAATCTTGTTGTCCTTGTGGGTGATATTGAAAAGGCCTTCCTGATATTGAAATTGAATTTCATCCACAGGACGGGGATTGCCTATGATTTTGTTGGTTAGAAAACATTGCATTGGTGCCGATAATCCTGAAATTGTGGTGTATAAATTCTGAAGAATGTGTTTTAGCTGTAATGCTTCTCCGTTCCTGCATAATTGTGTTCTCAGGCATCACATTCAGAGATATCAAACACAATGGACAGAGCAAAAGGAAAAAAACAGTTGTGTCTACTGCGACTACAACAATCATAGAAGTTCAGACTGTCAGAAGGTACTTGATTTGGCTCGAAGGCAAGAGATTGTGAAGAACAAAAGGCTCTGTTTTCATTACACTGGCTATTGACACACAGCTTCCAAGGGCAGATCCGGAGGGTGTAGAAAGTGTGATAGGCGATACCACACTTCCTTATGCGATGCAACAACACTGAGTAGAGAAGAAAATGCGAGCCAGCAATCTGAGATGGGCAAGAGAGCACTATATGTCACAACTACCCTTCATGTGACAATTTTGGCCAAAGTAAATGGAATGCCAGCACGTATTATTATGGACAGTGGATCAAGAAGTTTGTATATCTGCACCAGATGTATGACACCGTAAAAAGAAGAGTGCAAATCTTCAAGGTCAAGGTACAGTCCAATGTGGTTGATGGTTTCTGCTTGGACCTAAAGTGTATCAATGGAGAAAAGGATACTCTAACATACTTGCCCAACCCAAGAATCAAGGCATTGAAGGCAAAGTATAGCAGATTCAGAGGTTTGTCTTTCGGCGATGAAAATATGGAAAAAGATAGGCTACCAATCCATATCATCTTGGGTGCTGCAGATTTTCAACGTATCAAGACTATAGAACCTCCAGTGCTTGGATCAAATTCTGCTGCCGACCTCAGGCAGAATTCACTATGCTTGGATGGATCCTGACGGGAAGAACCATGGACACTGTGGGAGGAACAGAGAAGATCTTCCTGAAGCTATCCCCAAAGGGAGAATTTGAAAAGATGTGCTCAATAGAAGTTCTAAGGTTGGCAGACACAGACAGTGGACGGGAAGATGGTTTTCACATTGAGAGATATAAAGAGGAGGACCCTGTCTTTGTTGATAAGTTACTGGGGGATTCTTTGCCCATGACCTTGTATCTGGTAGCAGCAATACACAAGAGGCCTTAACCCTTTATGAGAAGGCTAAGGACAGGTTGAGGGATGGTGGGTTTATCCTGAAAAGTGGAGAAAAAAACAAGGAGGAATTAGCACAAGAAATAGGCGACAAAGAGTGTGACGGAAGAGAGAAAGGGACTACAATAAATGAAGAACAATTCTTTGCCAAAGAAGCCCAGTAGTTTTTTGAGGGAGACAAGCCAAAGGTTTTGGGTATTATATGGGATAACACTAGAGATAACCTAGAAATTGATTTAGGAAAGGTTGGCAAGGAAATTGTTAAGAGCCACAAAGCCACAAAGAGGGGTATCCTAAGTACCTGGACCTCCGTCTTTGACCCTCATTGTCTAGTCAGCCCTGTAACTGTAATGGGGAAAATCCTCTTTCAAGAGTTGTGTATGGAAAAGATAGGCTGGGATGATCCCCTACCAGCAGATAAAAGCAAGCAATGGAAGGGATGGCTTAAACATATGCAAAAACTAACATTATTTCTGTTGTGTGAATGAAGAAAAGGCCACTGTAGCAGGCTGCTCGACGGGCTCCAAGGAGTTCTTGCCGCGAAAGTCGATAAAAATGTAGCAAGTATGAAACACAGCAATACGCCAAGAATAAACAACAATAAAACACGTAAATCAGAAAAGGCTAATATTTTGCCCTGGCATACGGGGCTTCATCAGAGCAAAGGTTAACGGGCTAAAAATTTACATATTTAAAAAAGGTGATGGTGGTGTCAGATTTGCATATACACTCCCAAACCGGAAATGGCCTGTGATTGGCCAGTGCGATTCTCCTTAGCAACACATTAGCAACAATCCAGCCATAAGTAAATACAGTACAAAGAATTACCACCGATAGTTATTTACCATCAACTCTTGCGCTTTTCAAGTTGTATAATGTCGAAACACGCTCATTTCAAGTATTCAAAGTGGTTGTATCGCTCACTGTGAAGCTGTTTTGAGCTTTTTTGCAGAAAATTCCTCGTTATTGCCCAATTTGTTGTCGCTGCAAGGGCCGGTATAAATAGGCCTGTACTGATTCGTGTGAGGATGTGAGTATTGGGAAACTGGAACAAGAGTTATTGTTGTTGTGACTAGTGAGCGAGAGAGAAAGAAGGAAGTTGAAGTGGAGATATAGGTTGGATAAGTAGCAGAAGATGTTGTAAAGTTAAGTTGGAGAATATTGAAGAAGAAGAGAAACTGAAATATTGTTTATATTTGCTTTCCTTCTTGCATGCTTCGTTACATTTTTGCGACCCTGCCAGGACCACGAAAGGACTAGATTGGAGCGTTTATTGTAAATAGTATGTAAATTGTATTCGACAAACTATGGCAACAGAAGGAGAGGGAGCAGCAGATTCTTCGGAACAGAATCGGTTATCGCTGATGTTGTTCAGGCAACCAGAAAAATATAAAATTGGAGATGACTTTGACCTGTTTGTGAAAAATTCAAACCTTTATTTTGAAGCGGTTGAGTTAAAAGACAAAAGAAAGCAGAGACTTGCTTTATTGTTTAACCTAAGTGAGGATGCTTTCCGTTTAGCCGAATCCATTGAATATCCTGAAGGAGAGAACAGCTACGAAACTTGGATTACACAGTTGAAATCGTTATTTGAAAGGAATCAAACATTGACGGAAAAGCGACATAACTTTCGTTCAAGAAGTGGGAGAGACAGTCGATTCGTTCACTGTTGCACTCAGTGAATTTGGAGCTAAATGTGGCTTTCAAGGGGAGGAGTACAATACTCGCCTTGTAGATCAGTTTATACTTGGTATGAGGGATCGGTCGACACAAACAAAGCTCTTACAGGAGCCACCAACAACGTTAGAAGAAGCAGTTTTGGTAGCACAGAGGTTTGAAGCCGCAAATTCAATGATTGCAACCTTGAGAGCCGAAGCAACTACAAATGTGGCATGGTACACGCAAAATAGAGCACCAATAGGAGCAGTAAGTTCTGGTCAGCCAACAATGACATGCTTTGGTTGTGGTGGGTTTGGCCATATGGCTAAAAATTGTCCTTCAATTGTTGATTTTAAACGCAGAAGTAATGTTGAGAAAACCTGTTTTATTTGTAGTAAACCTGGGCATCTTGCCCGTGATTGTTTTCATGGTGGCTCACGTCAAAAGTTGCACGTTCAAAATGCCCCACCCCGTCAGCCTCCAACATGTTTTCATTGCGGTTGTATAGATCATATCTCAAGGTACTGCCAAGAAAAACAAGAATTACCAAAAGAGGCTGTGGGGCAGAGGCAAGGCAAACATTTTGGTCAAAATGACAAAAACAAGATTGAGAAGGAATATAAAATCAGGTTAACTGCTGTTTCACCTTTGCATCAAAGAAAAGTACTTTTAGTCGAGGCTAAAATAAATGGACAAAGCAAACTTTGTATTGTTGAAACAGGAGCCTCAATATATTTGATAAGTAAAGATGTATGGGAGTCTTTGAAATCTAATGATGCGCCAATTGGCATACTTGGTAAAGTTAACTTATTGCTTGAGCTTAATGAGGCACACAAAACGCATCAGGAGTTTTACGTTGCAAATGAAGTAATTTCTGAAGTTATATTGGGTTTAGATTGGCTCATAAACAATAAAGTAACCATCCATACAGCCAATCTTTTATTGAAATTTCCAGATTTAACTCATCAACCGTTGACAATTTATGACGCATCTTTGAAAGACCCTTTTTTTTGGTGCTACAAAACTTGTAAATAGCTTTGAAAAAAGCAAACATTTAGTTAACTAAAGCTTTTCGTCTGACAATCTTCAGAGTTTAAAACGTCAGAACATAGATCGAAAACTCTACGCTAAGAAATATATATACCCAGTTGTGGATCGAAATAGGCCAATCAGAAACACGAGCACATGACTGTAAAGGTTGACCAATCAGTGCCGCTTGCCTATTAGAATGTTACCAATGGAGTCCTAAGGTGAAAACCAACTCCTTTTGTCTACACAGTAGCGGTTTTTTTGTGCTTATGTAGATAGATTCTAAAACTGCTAGGTGGAACGACGATCGGGCTTTACTAATAATCCGAAACATGTCACCATTATAGTTTTTTGCACAATCTGGGTTTTCTAGCAAATGCTGCCCGATAGCAGAATCGCAGGTTTTATTAGTAATTTTTGATTTGCAAGACCGAGGTGGCTGTTCTCTTTTGGGATGTGTTTTGTTTCTAATATTAGATGGAACGTGTTGTTTTATCCTATCCTCCAATCTTTGGGTGGTGCGTCCTACGTAGCCAGAATCACACTGGCACGTGAATTCATACACAACAGAACTTTTTTTTTGTGGCAGGAACGCAGTCCTTTTGAATGGACGGAAGGGCCTTTTTTGTACTGTAAACAACACGTGGGTTAACCGCGAAGGAATAATTTGTTATGGCCTGTTTTATTTGGCTTTCAAAACGTAGGGAGCTGTTTGCTTTTTTCAAAGCTATTTAAAAGACCCTTTTGCTGTCATACTAGGTGATGACATTGAAATACCAGCCAGGTATGAAATAATTCAAACAGCACGTATTCGAAATCCAATTAGCACAGAAAGTGTGCTAGAACCAAATTTGGCGCTTGCCGCAAAAGGCGTAATTGTTGCTAGCGTGCTTGTACGGCCTAAAGAACAAACAGTTCCGATACAAATCATAAACCCCAGCCACGATGCAGTAAAGTTGTATAAGGGCACAAATGTAGGTTGTTTGCAACAAGTTGATGTTGAAGTGAATGATCCAGCTTTAGATTCAGGGGGTAACAAGTTCAAAAACGTGAATGTGAAACCATGTTTAATCTCGAACATTTAGAAACAAAGGACAGGGAACGAATGACAAATGTTTTAAAAGAATATCAGAGATTGTTTCCAGCAAACCTAAGCGAATTAGGTCTGACCTCTGTCACAGAACACAAAATTGAAACAGGTGATGCTACTCCAATAAAACAGCTACCCCGTCGTTTACCACATGCATTAAGACCTGTAGTTGATGAACAAATTACCGAAATGCTGCAAAATGACGTAATTGAACCAAGTAAGTCACCCTGGGCAAGCCCTATTGTGTTAGTCAAGAAAAAAGACGGTACCTGGAGGTTTTGTATTGACTTTCGGAAATTGAATAAGGTTACTATAAAGGATGCATACCCACTACCCCAGGTAAATGATTTAATAGACACACTTTCTGGTCACAAATATTTAACAACCTTGGACTTAGCCTCTGGTTATTGGCAAGTAGCAATGGAAAAATCAAGCCAGGAGAAAACTGCCTTCGTAATTTCGGGGGGTGATATATATCAATTCAAGCGAATGGCCTTTGGACTAGCTAATGCTGTTCGGACGTTTGAAAGGCTGATGTCAAATGTGTTAGAGGGTTTGTTACCGAACAAATGTCTCGTCTATTTGAACATTGTACTGATTGTTGGCAGAAATTTTGAAGAGCATAGGAGTAATTTGAAAAAAGTTTTGGATGCCATTAAAAACGCTGGGTTAAAATTAAAGCCGTCAAAATGTCATTTTGGATACGCAAATGTAAAATTTCTCGGATTTCAGAATTCAAATGAAGGTCTCTCTCCAGATCCAAAGAAAGTCAAAGCGATTGGAGAATATCCAGTACCAACTGATTTGACAGAGCTCAGAAGATTCCTTGGTTTGATCTCGTATTACCGACGATTCATATCTGGATTTAGTGATATGGCGCATCTACTACACCGTCTACTACAGAAAGACGTCAAATTTATCTGGGACAAAGGTTGTCAAGAAGCTTTAAAAAGTCTAAAAGAACAGCTAATTACATCACCTATACTTGGATTTCCAGATACAAACCATAACTATACACTATACACTGATGCAAGCGATATCGGAATAGGAGCCATTCTGTCGCAGAATGATGAAAATGGCACAGAAAGAGTTATCTCTTATGCTTCAAAAGCCTTTTCAGGTGCCGAAAAGAATTGGCGCACAACAGAAAAAGAAGCCTTTGCTATCGTGTGGAGTTTGCAATATTTTCATCCATACCTTTATGGGAGACAAATTAAGGTTTTTACAGACCACAGAGCTCTTTCATGCACCAGTACTCAATTATTGAGATAGAAAATATTACTATGGTTCATTTTGATGTTTTTGGAATGTGGATGCCAAAAAACAAGATATTTTTAGATATGACATTGTTCAGTACAAAAATATGATGACGTCATTTGAATTTGTTGTTTTTGAACAACATTTTGCATGAAAGTTAAATCACTAACATATACAGAATTTCTTTCTTGCTACTAACACTAGAAAATAAGTTAAGTATACAGGCTCATTTAAAGTGGGCAGACTGGGGGATTAGTCAGAGCCCAACATTCACCAGAAAAAATAGTTTGACATCATCATAATTTTTTTATCACATCCAAATTTTCTGATGGTCTACCCCCGAAAAACAGTTGACGAATGAATAGAGTAGCTAAGATATGCCACATAAAGGATGCAAGTGAAATGGCTGAGATTCATTGTTAGTATTCAGGAACTCTTTCAAACACTTGGAAATCAAAACAATAACTTAACAGTTAGGCTATGTGTAGTCCAACTTTAAATGTTCAATGAAAGTTTGCGAAACAATTGCGCTTCTTTACCAATCAAAGGTACACTTTGCACTTGGTGCACATTACATGAGAAAATCCTGTCTTGCAATGTCTGCATCTATTTTGCTTCTCATGAAACTCTGGAAAATGATCAACTTTATCTTTGCAAATATCAATTGTGGGTGTTACAACACTAGGAGGTCTTCTCTGTTTGCAAGGTACTTCCAAGACATCATTGGAAGGTCTTCCTCGTTTTAGCTTACATATCTTTCCTGCATTTGCCAGGCTATGACCAATTTGGGCTTGGAATTTCAGAAGTGTCAGTTGCTTTTTCTTTGGAATATCCATTTGACCAGAGTGTCTTCAGTATAACAACCAAGCATTAACAATGGAGATGCCAATGCAATGAAAGACAATATGCATATAATATTTTACCGATCTGTGGCCAATTCTATACAAAGATAAAAGCATATTGCACAAATCTACTCCACCCATGTGGATATTATATTCATGGATGATCAGTGGGCGTTCAATCTGTATATATCCTCTTTCCTTCTTACACCATCTTCTGGCTGCAGGGCCATCTTCCCCAGACATGTAATTGGAGATCAGCTGCACTATCCTATTATCCATCCATCTGACTACAGTTATACCACTATTCGCTTCCACAACACTGTCAGAGGAACCGCGCCCATTCCTTTTCAATTCCTTCTCAGATTGCAGATGGTGTTGTGCTCCTTTCATTCTGTCTTTTCTAACAGTTGCAACAACCCAGATTTTCTTTTTGGTTAGGTGTTGAAGAAGGGGCAATGAACTGAAATAATTGTCAAAATAGATTTTATGATTCATGTTATGTGGTAATGTATCACATAATCGACGCACAACATTTCCAGCCATGAGCAGTTCTGGCATTTCTTCTTTGTCATAACATTTCCCACTATAAACTTCAAAATCATAGACCAAACCACTGACACCACATCTAGCCCAGACTTTTATTCCCCATTTGTGGGGCTTCTTGGGACAATAAGGCTTGAAACTTGTGCGACCTTTTGTTGGTATCATTTGCTCATCTATAGATTGCTTTTCCTCCTGTGGAATGCTCCGACATTTTTGAAGAACTGAGTCAACAACAGGTCGCACTTTGAATAGCTTATCATGGCCTTCTTGTCCAGCGGGGACATACTTTGTGTTATCATTGCAGTGAAAGTTCTTTTTCAGAATTTCAAATCGTTTCCCTGTCATTACTTCAGAAATTGATGAAACACGTGTTTCGTTTGCCCAATACATTCTTATTTGAGGAAGCTTTATTATTGACATCATGATTAGAATACCAATGTATTGTTCCATCTTGCTGTTGCTTGTTTGAATAGAGGCCCCAGTTTGTTGAACACTGTAAAGATTAGTCTGTTCTGCAATATGCTGAATCAGATCTTCACTGAAAAATTGTTTCAAGTAATCAACTGGATTCAATGCTTCTTTTGGAGGTGGTGGTAGTTCTTGACCTTTGAGATTGACATCAAATTTTGGTGAGGTCCTTTTTCTCCAGCGCGTCTTCATTTCTTGGATGTTCTTTTCCTTTGATTTTGATGTGACTGAACTCTGCTGTAAATTTATAGTGACTGATCCTGGAATTTGTGTTTTGGCTGAGGCTTGTTGCTCACCTAACATCTCATTTGACATATCTGCCTCAATTTCTGACATATATAATTCAGATTCACTGAGCTCTTCTTCAGATCTTTGGTATTCACTTCCAGATGAAGGAAACAGATCTAATTCATCCTCTTCATCACTACTCTCTTTTTCACTGCTTCCTGGCTCCAAAACAACTGGATTTCTTATGTGTTGGTTCTCAACTATATCTGTCTTCACAGTTCTCCTATAAAAGGATTTAGTAGAGATTAATGTACCATCAGCCATATCTGTTTGAAATTAATATTATTTTTTATTTTTTTTTTTATTTTTTATATAAGGCTTGTAGGCCGAAATGGCCCATCGCCAACACAATTACCATACATACAAGTTGACATAATTAATAATAAATCTCAGAACATAAGTACAAATTAACAATAAATCTCAGAAAACAGCCAACAGAATTACTATACTAACAAGTTAACATAATTACAAATTAACAATAAATCTCAGAAAACAGCAAACAGCTAATACAAAGATAAACAGATAAAAAAAATGATGACGAGCTGGAAAGTTTACGTTACGAGGATATGCACGTAGAGGACTTCCCAAAATATTCCCATGACTCCAAAGCCAGCGATATAAAATTGGCTATCGATATCAGACAATCCGTATCTTCTTGACTCATCAACCAAATAAACTTATCACAAAGGTCAAGGGATGATATTCTGGGAAATTTTGAATAAATCATAGATAACATAAAATTCCTAGCAGTCTCGTAAAGGGGACAAACTAATAAAAAATGAATTTCGTCCTCCACAGCAGTTTTATTAAAAGATTGACAATACGGACATTTTCTATCAATCCTAGGAATAGGATTCATCCCGTATCTACCTGTTTCAATCCTGAGGTTGTGAGCACTGAGACGTAGTTTTGCAAAGTTGGATCTTTTCTTTTTGCTAGGTATTGCTCAAAGTAATGCTCAGTCTAAGTAATGCTCAAACTTATAAACAGTTTTGAAAGATGCGTATGTACAAAGCTTTTTATTGAGAATAGTTTGTTCTTTTAAATTTTCCATAATTTTTGACCTAAAATGGGAAGACACTTTTGATTTCACGATAGTGGAGTTATCGGTTGTATGTATTCTGTAAAGGGTCATCAGGGAACGGGCAATACTGACCCAATTAGAAACACCGGAATCTACATCATTAATTAACATTTGAAGAGCTCTGTATGCATATCTGGAGGAATCGAGATTTATTACACGAATATAAAATTTTAAGATATTAATATGTCTATGTTCAAGCAACGAACAACGTCCCAACTCCGCATAAACCCCAAGAGACGTTGTAGATCCTTTAACACCTAGGGTTGACTTGCAAGCCATAAGATGAATTTTTTCCAGGCATTCCCATGTACCAAATCCCCATAAGTCAGTGGCATAATTTAGAATAGAAAGTTATTGTACTGTCAAATAAAAATAGAAACAGTCCTGGGTTGAAACCATCCCATTCGTTGCTTTTGGATAAGAGAGCAAAGTAAGATTTTTGAGCTTTTTGCTTAATTATATCAACATGAGCACTGTAGGAACCATAAGATTTAAAAGTAACTCCAAGGTATTTGTACTCATTGCATTCTTTGATCTCTTTATCACCAAATTTCCAAATTTTGCATGCCTTAGATCTTTTCTTGTTTTTTCTTATAACCATTATCTTGGTTTTGGAAGTATTTATCTCCATATTAATGGACAAGCAGAACAGGTTTAGCTCGTTCAACTGGGATTGCAGATCATCAGCAGAATTAGCTAATAAAACTAAGTCATCAGCATATAAAAGGGTGCAGATATTTCCATCACCCAATCTGACACCGGTAGACACAGCATTAATCTTTGAGTCTAAGTCATTAAGAAACAAAGTGAACAGCAACGGACTTAACAAACAACCTTGCCTAACACCACGATGGCAGGAAAATAGATTAGTTAGGCTGTCTTGGCCCCTTACACAGGACTTAACTTTTGCATACAGGGACTTAATGACATCTAACACTTTACCATTAAGACCATAAGACAACAGTGTATCAATAAGAATTTTGTAGTCAACGGAATCAAAAGCTTTCTTAAAATCCACAAAGCATAAATAAAGGGTTTTCTTACTAGCAAATGTGTTCTCAATTAAAGCATGAAGCGTAAAAATGTGATCGGAGGCTCGATATGATTTTCTATAAGCAATTTGATTCTCCTTGAGAATGTTAAACTCTTCAACTGTCTGATTCAGACGGTTTAGAAGAATACCCAAGAAAAGCTTCCCGAAAATGCTAAGCAAGGTAATCCCTCTATAGTGGTCAAGATATTTTGTGTCACCACCTTTAAAAAGCAAAACAATGACACCTACAGACCATTCTTCTGGGAAGTCACCAGAATCTAGAATTTTGTTAAAAAGTTTAACAAAGAGAGTAAAATAACGGTCATTTAAATGTTTGAAGAGTTCAGCATTCAACAAATCAAGGCCAGGTGCTTTGCCAGATTTGAGTTTTTCAACCATTTTCTTCACTTCCAATAAATCAATTTGTTCATTTAGTTTAGAATCTATAAGAGTGAATAAGTCGTTACAGGAATCATCAGCAGCCGCAAAGTGACTTGGGTTTTTAGGGGGAGAAACAGGAGTATTTTTACTAAGAAGATCATTAAAAAAGGCATAGATTTGCTCATTTGAAAAATCTATTGACGATTTACTGGAAGATGACATTGAAAGATTTTTCCAAAACTGCTTTGGACATTCCTTTTTAAACAGCCAAAGCTCTTCTTTCGCATTTTTAAGGTAGGAAGTGCGTTTTCTTTTCAAAAGAGCTTTGTGTCTCTTTTTCTCTAATTTGTAAACCTCATGTAAAGTATTAGAACGTATTGGGTCAGGTTTATTGAGTCTCAGGTCTGCTTGTAAGGCCTTACGTGAAGTACTTAGCAGTTTTTTGCTGGACTTACACTCGTTATCAAACCAAACAAAATGTTTTTTCTTCGGTACGTTACTAGAAAAAATTTTCTTAGTTCTAAGACAACCTTCCGCAATTTGAGTTAAATGTTTGCGCATTAATGCAACAGTATGACCAACAGGAATGGACTTGTCATCAAGATCAGTTTCCAAATTTTCCAGAAAAGCCAGGGTATTATCATTGTCGATAAAAAGTTTAATTTTCTGATGGGAATCAACACTGGGGATGTATTCTTTTGTGTAATTGCTCATAAGAACATCAACCGCCGAGGAAGATACATTGTCGGGCTTGCTAGAGCTAACTGTTGAATTATTACAATTAACACTTTGCTTAATTGAGATCTCAATAGGAGAATGATCGGACAAGCTACTCATGTTCCCAACTTTAAGGCCACTAATCAGACCAAATGTTTTCTCATTTGCAAGAGCGTAATCTACTGTGCTGTTACCATTGGACGTGAAACAAGAAAAATGTGATGAGCGGTTTTTATCAGTACGGCCATTAAGGATCCGAAGGCCTGCAGTTTTACAGAATTCAATTAGCAATCGACTGCTATGATTAATTGTATTATCACTAGATTGCCTAGTAATTAGGGCAGTGTCTGGCGAGTAATCATTAGCGACCGGTAGAAAATCGTCTACTGAATCATTTACGATAAAATCTGGCAATGTCCCAGTTCTACCATTGAAATCACCAAGAATTAAAATAGATCCTTTTGCGTCATAATTAGCACATTCATCTTGTAAGATATCAAAATTTAGGCTTCTGCCAGATTTAAACCAAATTGAGTCACTCTGTGGAATATAAACAAAGCAAACAAAGAGATCATCGGCAAGGCCAAAGGCAATTTTATCAAATCGACACCAAAAAAGATATGCATCCGATTGTAAAATATGGCACCATGATGCCAGAGAGTTACGAACGAAAAGAGACATCCCGCCAGAAGACCTCCCATAGCGAGAAGTTCTGCACCCCAACTGATGGAAGACAGAAAAGTTTTCGTTAAGATCACGAAATTCGGGATCACCTTGATTTCGCCATGTTTCAGATAGACAAACAATATCATTATTTTCCAGAGCTTGAGAAAGATCATTGTCACGATAACCAAATGCCTCGGCTACTTTTAACTTTTTTAAACCGTTGATATTCCAAGCGCAAAGCCGTAATGTGCTAGGAACAGAATGACTGACCTTTTTTGGCATAGAATATAGATTACGAAATGCACGATAACTATTTGATTGTGGATTAGAAATGAAAATTAGAAAAACGATGGTGAGTTTTTATAAAAGGACCATTTCGGCCACCCACCTATGCACTGTTTGTAAGACGGAAAAAATTGTTGTATGAATGTACCTCGTGAATGAACGAGTCGTTGAAATGCTTATATTTTATACGACCGTCAATAGTCCATACGCGCTCAATGTTAAGGGGTCCATGATTAGCGTTTATTTCATTAAGCATACTTTTTATGCCACGGGCGAGGTCCTCTGTTATTTTAATGCTCTTGGCTTCCTTTTTCTTTTTCATAATATGTTCCTTCGACTTGTGTGAAAGAAACTTTACCAAAATTGCACGCGGGTACTTTCCAAAGCGTCGTCCTACACGGTGGACGATATCAATTTCAGAAGCCGTAATCTCCACATTTAGCTCCGTCTTTAAATGAGAGATGACAACCTCTTCGACATTTTCCCCGTCAGATTCGATAACATTGTGAATCCTCACCGAGCTTTTTCTTGAATATTGTTCCAGGCTATCAAGTTCGAAAGCAGCATGGACGAGCTGCTGCTATTCGTTGTGGGACCAGGATTGAGTTCAACATCACCAGATAAAATCAAGCACCAAACCAAGAAAGAAGCGGGAGAAGGCACAGATTTGCACCGATACTTCACCAAAATCTTACGGCATGATTTGGATGCTTTAAATTTGACCCATTGCTTTTTCCCTTTACCCAGTGAATCGACGATAGCATAAGAACAACAAGCATTATAATCACTATCCAGGAACGAATATGTGGCCGAAAAACGATAAAGAAAAAGTGCGCAAGCCAAAAACATCAGAGCTCCTTTAAACACGACCATCCTGTATGTCTTATAATTATCAGCCGTATATGTCGTATATAATATTATCATTATTATATAATATTATTATTATAAGCTTTTCAATAAAAAGTGTAACTACTTTGAGAATTTTTTATTATTGTAAAAGTGCTAAAGCATGCAAATGGCACAAATAACATCACATAAATTCTTAAAGGTGACAAAACTGTATAAAATATATTATCTATGGCTGTAAAAGTATTTCTTATAACGAATGCACTGATCAGCTGATTTCATATTTGTTGTATGTATTCGAGCTGTTAATGCACCATGTTGTTCCACAACAACAAATTTGTTTCCATGAAATTTATAAAACCTGTGCAAGAACTTGATAAGAACAATGGCTTGATTCACAGTTGTTAAGTAGAGTGAAAAGAATATATTTTTTACTCTGCTAAATGTTACATGTTGTATATATTAAATTTGATTGACTCACCGTGACTTCGTTCGTTTTCAAAATTCGCAGTTAGGTCTCAGGAACACGCCGTTTTCAACAAACCGATTTGAAATAGCCTCCTTTTCAAACAAGCAAGCTGGAGGCCTATTGTATACAGTCTTGCTGCAGCCTCTTCTGATTGGTTAAAAATTGAATGGAAACAAAGGCACTATTGTTTTAATTTGTTGTTCCACAACAACAGGGTGCATGAAAGGGTTAAAGGGAATGAAGCACCCTAATGGCAAACTGGCGCGTTGGATAATGAAACTAGAGGAATATGATTACTCTGTGGAGCATCAACCAAGTTCATTGATGCAGCATGCTGATGCACTTTCCCGTGCTCCAACTTCCAGCATACAGGTTGCCAGACATTCAGCGAGTGAATTAGAAGAATTACAAGATTTAGATGCGGAGTTATCTACAGCAAAGAGTTGGGTTATGAAAGGTTCTCGCCCTGAGCAAAGACCAAAAGATGGTTCGACTGTACTGCATGCTTTGTACAATGTATTTGATTCCCTGTGCATTGATAATAATCTTCTTTGCAGGAAGTGGATAGATGATACTGGAGATGAGAGATTACAGATCATATTACCAAAGTTTATTACACCTAGGTTTTTGGAAGAAGCTCACGAGCAAGTTGGTCATAAGGGCATAGCTAAGACTTTTGATGCCATTCAGAGGACATTTTATTGGCCTGGATTCTTCAAATCTGTAGAGAAATATTGTGCAAGTTGCGAGCGATGTGCCAAAAACAAAACAGTTCCCAAACTGCGGTGGCCTTTAAAGCCAATTGAAGTCGTTCCCATTCCGTTTCATAAGATTGGTGTAGATATAATCGGACCTTTGAAAACTACACGTTCAGGTAACAAATACATCATGTCAGTCATTGACTACTATACAAAATATGCAGAAGCTGAGGCCCTTCCTAATCAAGAAGCAGAAACAGTCGTCAGAGCTCTTGAACAAATCTTTGCCGTCATTGTATGCCTTCTGTTTTACTTACAGATCAGGGCAGAAACTTCGAGTCACATCTAGTTGCATCTATGTGTCAGTTATTTGGAATAGAGAAAGGAGAACGACAGCTTATCATCCTCAAACAGATGGTCTATGTGAAAGGTTTAATGCAATATTAAAAGCGTTGTTGAGAATAAGAGTAAACCAGGACAAAGACGATTGGGATGAACAGCTTCCACACGCTCTTTTAGCTTACAGAATAAGCAAGCAATCTTCTACTGGAGTAACGATGAAACTGATGAAAATGGCGAATACACTCACACGGTAAGACTGGAATCTAACAAAATTTGAAAACGGCAGGAAAAATTGACGAAAATACATCCTCAAAATTATCCCGCCGTTTTCAAATTTTATTAGGTTCCAGTCTTACCGCGTGAGTGTATTTGCCATTTTCATCACATAAAATTAGTAAAAATGGTCAATTGTCTTTGGACAATCATGATTGAAATTACTTTGGGCTGTTGCTGAAATTTTTCACTTTTATGAAATCAATTATGATTCCAGAGGAGAAAGATACATCTATTGAGTTCGAGGGTGAATATGAAAGCCTTCGTGCTGTTGTAATAATTACATAGACGATCACCGCCGAATCTAAGGCTGAACAGTGAGTGCATCTATGACGGGATTATGAACCATTCCTAGTTTTAAGGTAAGTATATAATTGATTTTGTCTAAATGTGAAATGTCTGAAGCGCTTTGGGTGGTGAGAGGTAAAAACAGTAATTTACCTGAATCTCGACACGAAATATATCGATCATTTGCAAGGTGTTATTTTATATTATTCTTTGCGATCCAACAGTGGCGCCAATATAGGTTAAATAGCAACGCATGCTGATGAACTGGACAAAAAATAAGGTGGAAATTCGCTTTGTAGAGGCGTGCAATGTTTTTTGTAGACAATGTGGTAAAAACACGCTGAAATGGCGAAATCGAGCCTAATTCTAGCTGCGAAGCGATTTTGTTGTGAGAATCCAGTGTGCTGATTGGCTTAGAACATGGTAGCGAACAGAGCTCTCAGCCAATCAAAGATTTGACCGCTATGCTGGTCTGACATAAAGTTATTAGCTGTATCGTTGGCTGACATAAAAACAGAGGGTCCGTCTACTAAATTAACCTATCTTGGTTTTGTTTTGGACTTCTTGAATTTTGAAATTTTACTGCCAGATTCTACACAGAAAACTTATGCTTCTGCACAGAGAAAATTCTTGGATTTTTGTATTCAGTTCAAACTCTTGAATCAAAATGGTTCTGGAGTGCTCTATTGGTTCTCTTTGCAATTCTTGTCAGCTGTCTACGATTTGTGTTTACCTCTCTGCAGTTATATTTCTTCATGTTATGCATGGTTTTCCTGACCCTTTGTTGGACTGTTGCCGAATTCCTTTGGTTCTGAAGGGTGCAAAGAGAATTTCTTCTAAGTCGAAGGTATCTAAATTGCCTATTATACCTTTGATTTTGACAGCTATCAAATCTAATCTAATCTTTTTAATGATAGGATGTTCTTGGTTGCTTGCTGTACTGCTTTTTTCGGTTCTCTTTGATCTTGTGAATTAATAGTTTGTAATAAAGATCTTTCTACTGGTAAATTTTTGGCATTGTCAGATTTTTCTGTCAGATTTATTTGGAATATACCAACACAGTAAATAAAGGAGGACTTAAATACAAGGCTGATTTTGTATTGGACTTGAGAGTTATAGACTATGCTATTATGGCTAAAGTCAGAGCTTCCATGAAGGATAAGAGTTACAGTGTGAAGCTTACGTTAGATAGAAATGGAGGAATTGTCAAAGGGGGGGGGGTGGCTGTGAATGCCCTAGGGGAAATTGGATATGTAGGCATATGGCAGCTGCAGCAATATATACCAATAAAAAAGAGATGTCAAAAACTGACTTACCCAATTCATGGGTTTCAAAACCGGATTAACTGGCAGTAATTTTGGTCACGTTATTCAGGCATGTCAGAGGAGAATGACAGGAGGCAATCCCATCCCCCCTACTTATTAAAGAAATTGAGAGTAGAATATCAATTGGGCACTAAAGACTTGATTATGTGGGGCAAAATGCTTGAGAAGGTAGCAACTGAAAAATACAAAGAGCCATCAGGAAACAAAGTTAAGTCAGCTGGTCTTTTCCTGTTTCCTTGTAGATATTTGGGGTGTAGCCCAGATGGGATCATTTATGAGGAGGATACAAACACAAAAGGAATTTTGTCCATGGGCATACAAATCAAATTTCCATGGGCATACAGAAATTCCAGTCTTGATGAGATGATTCAAGCTGAGCTGAAAGGTAAAAGTGAACTCAAAAGCTTTTACCTTACAGCGAAAAACGAGCTTAATAGAAGACATGAATATTGGCATCAAGTACAAGGAGAAATGGCAGCAGCTTGAGTTTCATGGGCAGATTTTGTGGTTTGGACAAATGTGGACTGCAGAATTTTTCAAGTGAAAAAGGACTCTTTATGGGAAAACACTTTTATTCCATTATTAAAGACAAAAGTATTGGGTATTCCTTGGGATGCTAAAACTGACACTATTCAAATTAACTTTGAGAAGGTGGAAAAGACAAACTATGCTGCAACCAAGAGGGGAATCTTAAAGGCACTACAATCTTGGCAAAAAATGCTGAGACAATTGCAAAAAAGAAGCTACTTACAAATCACCCACCCCCTTTCCCCCTGAATCAATGTTGTGATTGGATTGGTAACTAATGTTGTAATCCCCACTTATTCTGTAACCATCCTAAACAACATGGACCACGGGGAAAGGGGCTCAGGTCACCAGCGCACATTATATGAAGATATAGCACGCAAATTCCGTTTTCGTTCATATGGCTCAGCTATTTTTTGCCAGGAGTGTAGCTTCGTTGTTTGACCAACAGCGGTTAATAAGTTCACTTTTTGTAACAGCAAAAATCCTTTTTCAAGAGTTATGCATAGACAACTATGGCTGGGATGATCCTCTCCCTGTAGAAAAATTTTCTAGATGGAAAGCATGGATACAAGATTTGCAAGAAGCTAGTCACGTTTCAGTGCCAAGAAATATTTTAGCAGGAGTTGAAGTTTAAATCTTGAAAACACCCTGCACAGGTTTGGTGATGCGAGCCAAAAATCATATTGTGCAGTGGTTTGTCTTGTTATTGAATCCACAAAAGGGGTATATAGCAAAATTCTATGTGCCAAAACAAGAGCAGCGCCATTGAAGAATCTCTCTATACCAAGATTAGAGCTTATGTCGACTAGAATCTTAGTTAAACAAAGGTAGATGCAGTCAGACAAGCAATTCAGACAGAGATTATATTGATACAGTGAGGTATTGGTTAGACAGTAAAATCGCCTTGTACTGGATTCAGAATAACAATGAATGGAAAACCTTTGTGCAGCACAGGGTTAATGAAATTCTAAGTTTAAGTAAGAAAGAGGAGTGGGGCCACGTACCATGAGTAGAAAACCCTGCAGACTTGGAAACCACAGGAGTTACAGCGTTTAAAGGAGAGTGACTTGTGGTGGCAACCACCTAAGTGTTGGGTCAAGGGGAGCAAGGATGGCCCAAACTATTTCAAATTGAGAAGCCAGATGGAATTGAGGAAGAGAGTAAAAGGTAACAACATAATCTGTGCATATTGAAAAACAGAAAGGAATCTCTAAGGGGCCCTTTACATGAGACCCAAAATGAACTCATGCCGGCATGAAAATTCTGTGAAGTTTGCTCGCCGTTACATGAAACCTGACACAAAACTGTCGCATTCTTTCGCATGGTAGGTTCTTAATTCTTCATGCATTGTAATATTTCTTATTGTTTAAAAGACGCACACATCTGCTTGTTTTAGTTGTCTCTGTTTTACTGTTAGTGAAGCAATTCTAATTGGCGCTTACATTTTTGGATTCCCAGTGTTTTTTCCCCGACATGATTGCAACCAACAAGCTGAAATAAAGAAAATGGCACCAAAATCAATCTGTGGCGTCCACTGTGCAGCATTTGTGCAACGGAGGCAATTTTATCACTGATTCCCCCTGATATGAAAAACTGATCTGTTTACACGACACTTTCCTGCCGACATGAAATCAAGTGAGCTGCTTGATTTTCAAAACAATGTTTTGGCAGCAATTGATGCAAAATTTTCTTCTCAGAACAACCAAAATGGTAGGCCCAAGTTTTTTCTCATAAGACAATCATCATCTTTCCTGTGTACGCATGATAGATGGCCAACCTGTTTGCAATAATTGCGGCAGCGTGGGTCATGTGGTACGCAATTGTCGTTTGCAATCTTTCAAGGCTCAAAGCCAACAATTTTCAAAGCCAAAAAAACCACAAATCCAGTCAAAGCATTATGCCACTGTTATCATTCATGCAAATTTAAACGGGTCAGGACCTTTCCAGTGGGGTCAGTGAAGGTTCCTTCAAACAACTCTGGTGGAAACCCCAATTTATCTAATTTTGATAGGGATATTGACTTGCAGAAATGGACTGCACAGCGTAAACAGATGTCAAATATTTCTTGGAAAAAGGTAGACAATGCGATTAAGAAAATGACAGTGTTTCTTTTTGTTTTATTAACTCGCATCAAAATATTCTACTGACGATAAAAATGTTGATTTAACTCAACAAACTCCTTTGATTTGGTTAACTAGCTACGATTTTCAGTCAACCCCATCTAACCTCTCTAGTTGGAAGTCGTTGAAAAACAGTCTTTTAAAGTTTTGGGTGACTCTAGTGCAGTAATTATTGTTGTGATTGAAAATTTTTATATTGAAATTCTATGCGCCCGGCTTGCTTTAATTACGGTGGAAGTATTAGGACTGCAAAACTGACAACATAAAGCTTCTTATATCTAGCCTTTACACCGATTTTAAAACATCTATCATCACAAGCCACTATAATACTCCTGCTAACCTCCACATGTTCTTTTGGCCTCCTTCCAGAAACGGTAAACTTTCTGGTCACAAACATACAGCATCTTTCCAACACATTTTTATATGCTAATCTTCCATCTCATTATACCCCATCAATTATAACAGGTGATTCTTTGCGACCTGATATGCTATTGATTGCTTCAAGGAAAATCATTTATATCATTGAACTTACAGACACATCTTAATGTTAAAAGTTATCGCAAAAAGATAAGTAAAATCTCTTTTAAAAACTCTTAGAAGTTCGTACAAACAGTCCGTTAAATTTGTTAACCTCTTGATTAGTTCTCTTGACATATTTGGGCAATCATGTTCTACTTTTACAGATGTGCTAGACGATCTTGGTGTTGAAATTCTCTTCGTCCCTACATCTATCTTGGTTTACCAAAGGTCATAATTCGATGTACCTACTTTATATTCTTCCGTAGAAACAAACCTTGGCCTAACCCAGAGCTTCTTTCCATCTAGTATTCCATCTCCACCTATACCACAATCATTTCAATCTTTATTGCCATCATCAACATCGTCGCTACCTTTGTCATCCTCATAAGCATTTTTAACATCGTCACCATCATTACATCATCATGCTTATATTTATGCTGTGTAAAACCGTTTTTTCTTTGCACTTGTAATAGTTTAGTATTATTAGTGTTCCAGGGACTGTTACTTTCCCATTGCTTCTTGGGCATAATTCTTATTTGCGCAGCACTTCAGTTGTAGACGGTCTTTCAGATGACATTGTTATTGGGAGAGATTTTCTACATGAATCTTTGGCCGTTATTGATGAAGAAACATCACCTATACTTAGCACAACAGACAAACCCAAACCCTATCTTTGAACATGCTTCAAATATTTCTTATTTATGAAAGCTGGATAAAATGCTACTGTTTATCATCGTTATTATGTTAAGGTCTCCAGAGATGTTAAGTTTTTTGCCAAATACGGAGACTGTCCTTAATTCGTTTATATTTCTATTTGTCATGCCTTCTGGGAGCCTAGCCATCAAGTCTCATTGAAGATTTAAGAACCGAAAGTGTTTATACCGATTTATTCAAATATGCAAAACTTAATTTCAGGTTTCTTCGAGACCGTGAAAGAAAGAAGAGATGGCTCAACGGCATGCACCGAGTAGATTGGACACTGTCTTCACACTCGCTGATATGTTCAGATCACTTCCGCGGGAAAGATCTCAACAGAACTTGCAACATTGTTCAGGTCTGTGAACATGCAGCACCAATAAGATTCAAGAAATTTCCACCACATTTAAAAAAAGTATATAAAAAAAACTTCATAGCTTGGATAATGTATTAATCATGATTTTTGTAACAGAATAGACTTACTTAAATTTTTATAATGTAAACTAGTATTCACTACTTTATGAGATAGATACATTTACATTGGAATATAAGCTAGTAAACATGAGTTTCCTGAGGCAGATGACTGTAACCCTCAAGAAGAACATGTTTTTTGAAATTTGTAGGAATTTTTTAGCCCTCCCCCTCCTCCAAGAAGGAAATTGGCCCCCAATAGTTGAGATGTTTGTTCTTGAAGTGAAAAATTGGTTTGAAGTGGTTGCTCAAAGTATAAAACAATTTGTTGTCATGGGTAGGAATTAAAGTTGTCCTCGCAATATTAAAGGATCTAAAAGTTTGTCTATGATCAATTATAAAAAAAAATAGACTGTTTTTGAACTAGTGCTGGGTCTTTCAATAATTAATTTCATCACATTCTCAGCTGTATGGAGTTGTATGAGATTGTTATTTTTGTTATTATGATCGTCATTATTACTTCTTTGGCATTTTCAAACAGTAGTTATCTTTCAGTCCAACCTATGTTAGAATACACAGACTCTAGTGAAATGACAATTTTTACTCTTCAGATCAAAATCATTTTTTTCATATTTTTAGTTGCAAGATTCACAAAAAACAAAAAACAATTCTTTTAAGGTTTCCAAGGAGCGCTGACCACCTATGAAAAGAACATTACCTGAAAGTGGCAGCATTGACAGTAATGCTCATGGGAATTCTCCGCTTGACTTAAAAGATGGTGTTTCAGTTTCTCCTCCAATAAAAAGGTCAAAGTTCTCTTAAAAAAAGCTCGATAGAAGTCTCAATGATTTTAAGCTGGCTAAGAAGAAGCTTAAATGTTCATAACAAAAGTCATATCCCTTAAATCAGTTGTCAAAGATCTCAAGAAAAAGGTTATGATTTCTGAAGCTTGCTTGAACCACTCCAACACTCTTTAGCAGGGATTCCTCTGGAAATGATGAAACGATTAACATCTCAGAAAAAACAGGAAAATGAGTTAAATATTCTCCTGAAATTAAATCGTTTGCCTTTAATCTACAGCTCTATTCTGCAAAGGCTTCCGTGTTTTTTAGAAGGCCATTTAACTATGCTCTTCCACATCAAGCTCAAATACGCAGATGGTCCAGTAAGATTCCTCCAGAAGCAGGTTTCACTAAGCCATCTTTTTTAGCTATCAAACGTAAAGTTGAGTCATCAAATGAAAAAGTTGTATTAAGCTTGATGCTGGATAAGATGTCAATAAGAAAACACATTGCCTGAGATGGCAGTAAGTTCAGCAGTTATGTGGATTCGGGGTGTGGCAATGAGAGCAATGACTCATCTTCTGTTGCAAAAGAAGTCCTTGTTTTTATTGCAGTTTCCGTCAACGGAGCATGGAAAATATACCCTTAGCCTACTTTCATTGATGGCTTAAGTGGTGCAGAGCAGGCCAATCTTATCAATGTCTGTTACAGAGAATATGGAAAACAGGGGCAAAGGTAGTAACTGTGACACGCGATGGACCTTCATGCCATTTTTCAATGATTTCAGAGTTGAGTGCAAAGTTAGATACTGATGACCATAAAGTCAGCTTTTAACACCCTTATGATAATACTCAGAGTATATTTGTGCTTCTGGATATCTGTCACGTGCTTAAACTTGTCAGAAACACTTTGAAGAGAGTATGGTTTATTGGTTGACAATGAAGGCCAGAAGATCAGGTGGCAGTACATTAATGAGTTACATAAACTCCAGGAGAAAAAGGGGTTTCAGATTAAGCAATAAGTTTAAAGCAGCACACATTGAGTGGCTGAAATGAAAAATTGAAAGTTAACATAGCAGCACAAACATTCAGTTCTAGTATAGCTGATGCCATCGAGTACTGTGCAACCCATCTAAAGCTTAAGCAGTTTCGGGAGCTAAAGCAACCATAAAATTCATTAGAATCTTTGATGCTTAATTCAAGGAATCCGCTAGCCAAAGGTTTCAAGTCTTCTCTTAGAATTGGAAGCCAGGCAACTTGGGATTCTTTTTTCAATGTTGCATTAAGTTACATCTTGGGGCTGAAAGATTCAACTGGAAATCAGATGCAAACCTCACGTCGAAAAACTGGCTTGAATGGATTCTTAAGCCTGGTTCATAGTTTTGAACTTATTAGCGTACGCTAAACTCCGCACAAGGGTTAGCTTTGAAGCGTACACCTTTTCATCTTGCATATGCCAAAAGCGTAAGCGCGTACGTTTTCCGCATGGCCAAATGGGAAGCTTGAAACGATATGTCATAAGCTTTTTCGGTTCATAGTTTCCGGACATGCCCTACTTGCCCTTCCTACTTGCTCGGCGAAGAAAGAAAAGGAACAAAAAAACACGGTCGTATATTCGGCCGCTGAATTCTTTGAGAAACGTGCGCGGTGAATACGCGATCCTAGTCAATGATTTGCGATCGATGGACGAAGAAAAGCATTTTCAATTTTTCAGAATGTCAAAAGAACGATATAACGATCTGCTTAGAAGATTGAAGGAAAAGTTAACGTTCGGAAAAAATCACAGGTTTCCTACATCAGCCGATGAAAGACTGGTACTCACTTTACGATACCTTGCTCATGGAGATGCACAGCAAAACCTAGCCATCACAGGTCGATACAGTAAATCGACAGTAAATCAAATCATTTACCACACATGCCACACAATTTGGGATACACTCTCAAGCGAATTAGGAAAGCGTTCCTGATGAGCAAAAATGGAAAGAGATTGCAAAAGATTTCTGGAAATATTGGAATTATCCTCATTGCCTAGGAGCCATAGATGGAAAGCACATTGCAATAAAGGCACCGGGAAATGCAGGAAGTGACTATTACAACTACAAAGGGTTCAACTCCATAGTACTTCTAGCTGTAGTTGATGCCACATACTCATTCGTGATGGTAGATATTGGTGTTTACGGCAGGCAGAGCGACGGAGGCGTCCTTGCAAATTCAGTATTTGGAAAGAGACTGAACGCAGGGACATTGGACCTTCCAGCACCCAGTGCGCTGCCAGGTTCAGAACAGATATCCCCATACGTTTTTGTTTGTGATGAAGCATTTCAACTCAAGGAAAATATGATGCGCCCCTATCCAAGAAATAATTTCAAACATGGTATCCAAAACATTTTATATCATTGTCAGTTGTTTGTTTTATATGAAGTGCTCTCGCCAATCAGATTTTCATTGATTTAGCTTTTAAGTTTCCATCGTCCCAAACGAGAAATACACTCTTCCAGAAACATTTATATCCTAAAAGGATGTAGCCTAAAAATTCAGAATCTCCAAAATTAATTTTCAGGCTCAGAATTATCTGATGAAAAAAAGGTCTATAACTATAGACATTCACAAGCACGTCGAATTTCTGAAAATGCTTTTGGAATCTTGTCAGTCCGCTGGAGAGTCGTACAATTGAAGCCAATCCAAAAAAATAGTGTGACAATAACGAAAGCATGTATTGCATTACACAATTATTTAGCAAAAACAGATTTTCAAAATACGCCAAAAACCCGATATGTGCCCCCAACGCTGGTTGACCAAGAACTACAGGGGGACGTTGTGCCAGGAACATGGAGAGAAATACAAGCAGACAGTATCCGTGCAATAAATCGAGTTGGTAGCAATATGTCATCGAAACAAGCTACAAAATATAGAAAAATATAGATGTAAATGAAGGAAGCGTACCTTGGCAAAAAACTTCGTTCGTAGAGGACGACTTCAGAAATAATTTTTTAAAACACAGGACGACACCTTTTATCTGATTGATAACAATAACAGCAAAAATAACAATATAATTCATAAAGATATATCAATTTGATTCAACTGTTCATTCGCCTGTAAATACAGAAAATCGTTAAGAAATTTGGTGACATAGATTTGGTGATTAAGCTTATATTTCTTCCCGATTAATTACTTATATTAAACTGATCATAAATACCGTATTCTATCTAATGAGCGCCCCCTCTCCAATGAACGCCCCCTCTCCAATGAACGCTCCCTCTCCAATGAACGCCCTTCTCCATTGAGCATCCCCCTCCATTGAGCACCCCCTGAATATCATAAAAAACAGATGGAGACCAGCAAATCATCGCAACAGTCATCAGTTAAACATATGTTCAATAAAATCTAGGTTGATCAATTGGGAATATTCAGTTCTTTCAGTTCGTTTGTATTTTAAAACTTTGACTTTTACTTTTGGATTTCTTTTTTTAAGCAACACCCTTTCTAATAGGCACCGCTCGTTAATGAGCGCCTCCTCTCTGAGGCCAAGACTGTAATGAGCACAAAGGTGCTCATTAGAGAGAATAGGTGAGGTTAAAAGATTTTAAATATTCATACGGAAAACTTTTTACAATATTTGCAAAAAAAAATTTTTACTGAAGCGAAGACGTGAAACTGGGGTAAATTTGATATGTTGACTCCGGAGACTGGTTGTTTGCTTGGTTGTCTAGAGAAGAGAAAGTGGCTTGGGAAAAATCTCCAATCTCCGTTGTACTTTCAGTTGGACAACTGTAGCTCAGCATCAAAAATAATGTTTGTAATTTTCTTTTTGACAATCAACTGATGGTCTTGGCATCTTTCTTATGGAATCAGCCATAATCTTTTGCAAGGTTGTTGGCCTCATCATTTTCCGTTGACAATGTCCTTAAAATGGCTTCATCAATCGGGTCATGGAGTACTTTTCTCTTCTTGCTTGTGAGAACCTGTGGAAGTACAAGCTTTGTGTGCCATCGATTTGCAGCTTGATTTCTAAATTCTTATGATTCATGATTCAATAATAATTTTATACTGTTTATTTATAACTGAAATGACCGTTGATAGTATTAAATTGGAATTTGCCCAACATGACAGTTTTGTAGCATTTGACCTCTTTTAATTGTCACAAATCTGCGTTTCTTGAACTAGTTCTATACTTTAGCTGACAACAATATACATACAGGGCCCTACCTTTGATTCACTGACAAAAGGGGACTGACGTCCTTGCAAAGATTGAGTTGGGGAAGGACACGAGGAATGAGACGCGATTTCAGACACTTCGCGGTCAGATTGATCAAGGTCTTGGTCTTGGTCACTGAAAAAGGCAACTGTTTAACCATCTCCTCCATAATTTAGCGTGTAATTTTAGCAATAAAAAATCATCACACAAGTATTACAATCCTTTTGAATTAAAAACTGCAGCTAGATGGAAATTAAAATGAATGATAAAAAAGGACAAAGGATGATAAGATAATGCTCCAACAATGATTAAAAACCTCAAAGTCCAAGTAACCAACTATCATCTCTTTTTGCTTATCTATGTATTATTTTGACTCATTTGTGAAATTTTTCTAAGCACAGAAATGTTGTCGTTTGCTGAGAATGTCTAGTCAAAAAACAAAATCTTGTTGAGTTTATGAAGTTTTGATTAGCAATGACAAGCAAATTAGATTTCCCAAAGCTTTTGTTAAACAAATTCATAATAAAGAGCATAAAATTTAGCTACTTACTAAGTGATGTTTGTGTCTGACTGTCTGTGCTTTACCAAGGGTGACAGCCATTCCAAAAGTGCATCTTACTTCCACTTCCCCACTCTTCCCCATCGCAGTTTTTTTACATTTAACGTACTGTTCCCGGATATATCACTATTTCTTTTTGCAAATATCAACAGGTGTTTCTAATGTCGAGGCAATTTCTGATCACGAATTAGATACTCGCCCTGAATCCTTGTGTTCCCTTAGCGAGGAATCGTAAAGATGGGGGTATTTCTGCACCTCTTCACATAATTTCGCTTCAAAGTCGGCCATTGCTATCGAATTTTCCGTACGGAGTGATAAAAAAGTTGAAGATTTCTCAACTTGATAAGTTCAAGAAATACGGGTTTCAGAAAATAGAATAAACTTCCGTACGCAAAAAGTATGCCTCTGATATGGGGCGAAATTTAGCATACACTAGTTCTGTGACAAGCCGACACCAGAAAAGCTGGTGCCTCATGCAGAGAAATAGGCGTACGGGTATAAGTTTTGATGTAATGCATCGACTATGAACCACGCTTTAGTTGGCATCAAAAGTACGCAGGGACGTTTTGAATCTCTTGTTGCACACAAGCAAGCACCACTCAAATATCTCCTTATGTACAAATTCAGTCAGGACCATCTTGAGTTGTTTTTTGGGGCAGTTAGGTCAGCAGGAGGTTTCAATAACAACCCAACAACAGGCCGCATATAAACGACTTTTGCTGAGAAGCACCATTAAAGTAGGGAATGGTATTTAAAGTAGGGAATGGTAACTGTGTGAAGCTGGATCCACTGGATAGTCTGCTAACAGTCGATAATGTACCCAGTACTGATGTAGATACCTCTTTATCCAGTGTTTTGATGGCAAGGATACATGATCTTTTTGTAAGGAACAAGCCAATGACAAATGAACATGATTATGCAGATGCACCAAACCTTTCATCCCTTACTGAATACAAACAAGCATCAATATCATACATTCCTGGCTATGTTGCTAAAATGGTCATGAAGCATATTCTTTGCTTTCAGTGTTCTCAGGCTATTGGGTCTAAGAATCAAGCATACACATCTAGCATTCTGAAATTAAAAGTGGAGGTTTAATAAAGCCAAGTAGAAGTGTTGTGATGGTATGTGAAGAAAGAGAAAAATTATTCCAGGGAATGCTTCTTGCAACGGGAGGAAAGTTACCTTGCTCTTCAGGTATTTAAGGTATTTCAGCTATTGCTATGTACAGGATGTCTCAATGTGAGGCATAACAAAACATCGGCTGTTTTATCGGATATACCATTTCCAACAAGCCTTGCAGACCCTAAAAACTTGATTCATATAACCCTAAACATCAGAAACCTTTCATTTAGATTCACGCCATTGCAATACTCACTGCTCTGTTAAATTTTAATTCGATTTCAATAATGAGTTTAAGCAAGGAACCCAAAGGTACTAAGTGGAAAGGCTACTATGAAAGTGCTCGAAAGTATAAGCCGCAATGGCAAAGAAAGCATCCTTGGGTAACAAAAGCTGTGAATGGAACAGATGAAGCATACTGCTCTTTATGTAGAGTCAATGTTAACCCAAAGCTTTGTCATCTTCAACAACAAGAGGCTTCTACTAAACATAAAAAAGCTTCCACTGCAGTTTCTTCGAACAGAAAAATTGTTACTCTTTTGAAGAAAGATGATGAGGTCCTGAAGAAGATCGAGCTTGAGCTTGCTGTTGCTATAACGTGTCATTGTGCAATTTGGGCAGTTGACCATTTTGGCGAAATAATTGTGAAACGCGGAGATAAGAGCAAACTGGGAGAACTGAAGCTTCATCGAACAAAATGCAGCCAATTAATCAAACGCGTAATCTCTCCTGCCCTATATGACGAGTTACGTAGCAATGTTTCTGGCAAGAAGTTCTCTGTTCTCATAGATGAGTCAACAGATGTATCGTGCAAGAAATATTTGTGTATAACAGTGCGATATTTCAGCGAAAAGCAAGAGAATATTTGGACAGCTTTTATCAGTTTAGTTTCGCTTGTAAGCGCACTGGGAAGATATGCCTTAAAACTAAAGCCTGGTTTCCATTAAATTTTATAACGATCGTGGACAGTCTGCGTCAGTCTGCGACCTCATCTTCCATTTTTCAACTTCGACATGTCTCCATAGATCGGCAACTGTCTGCGATTGTCTGCGACCATGATCCTTTTCAAGCTCAAAAACGCGCGCGAACTGCAAACAATTTTGGAGGGAAAGAAAAATGGCTGCCGTAAACAAACGTTTACTGCTTAAAGCTCGCGCCTTTCTGTTGATGGCTTACATGAGACTACGTAAAAGAAGAAGCAAGACCAAGAGAAAGCATAAATTCTGGGTTCGAGAGATTTTTCTAAGCAGAAGACAACACGGTCAATTTTATACTCTTTACCAAGAACTGAAGTTGGCTGACAGAGAGTACTTCTTCAGGTAGTGTTAAGACATCACGCACAATTTTTCTTAATACCACCTTGAATTTCTCTATTTAGTGTTTCTAATTTTCAAAATTGGTTTTTAAAAGCAATCAATGGCTTTTGGACTTAAATCTAATCTGAATAACTTTCTTGTGAATAACTTCCTGGGGCATTAGTTTTCATGTTGAAGTTTTGTGGCTGTTTACTGGGCCTGTAATATTGTTGAGACATGCTTGCTTCATTCATTTGATAATTAATATTACTAGCACCAGGTACTAGTTGGTAATGAGCTTTCTTTTGTGAATTTTTCTTCCTTTTAATGTCATTAAAAATTTTCATTATTTGAAGCTTTGCCATTGATTTATATCTTGGCTCTAAAGATCTCATTGGACCAAGGAGACTTAAACAAAAATGTTTGTCATCATCAAATGATTCTTGCTCTGGAGATGCTGTATCAGTCATTGCTTTTTGCATGCTATGCATTGTGTTTAGAAACTCTCTGTCCATTTCTACAATGCTGATGGGTTTTTTTTCTTTAGACCAGGCTTTCTTTGTAACTTTGACAGGCAATTTGGACAGCCTTTTGTTTGTACTTGCTGCAACACTTTTTCTTGAATTTGAAGCAACAGCAAATGATGGTGAAGCTGAATCAGAGCCTGGTGGTGAAGGCGAAGGAGTTTGTGAGGCTGATTCATAGGCAGAAGCTGGGGAAATTTGTGACTCTGAAGAAAGACTTGATTTCAAAAATATGCTCTGGGGATGATCTTCATTTGTTGAACCAGCTTCATCACCGGCAGAAAAAATATCCTGAGATTCAATTGGCCTTTCCTCGCTTGCTCCTGCATATTCTTCTATTTCTTTATTCTGACCCATGCCGGCATCCAAAATTCCCAGTTCATCATCAGTCTTTGTTGTTTCTTCTTCATCATCATCGGCAGAGTCTTCTGTGATCTCAGACATGGCATTGATAACGTCATTTGTTCTCCGCTTGAAGTTTGTTGTGCCTGGTAAGTATTCCAGCCACCGTAAA